AAATAACTATGGCGAAGATTATTGTCATCATGATTATGGAGCCTTGAATTGAAATACAAAAAAGCATTATTGAATACACATTTAATAATCTCCTTTTTTAAACTCATCCAGGTGTACCCTGTCGGCKTGTCTGCCCTTGGCRGAYATTCTAYTATTGGACAAGATGTAGACGCTGGACTGGGAAGGGATGGTACTATTATTACTGCAGAAAAACCTTTCGCCGTKCMKTTTGCCGATGCATTGGGAAGTGAAATAACCTCCAAAGACAGCGAAATAATGACAATGGATATGTAAACACATACAGAGTAAATGATTAATACAATATATCTTAATCGAAATAACAAATAATAAGTAGTTCAAAAAATAAAGCATTTGTAAAACCGAGCATCGTTGAAAGTTATTATGTCAAATGTGTGCTAGTTCTTGGAAATTGTAAATTCCAAGTTTATTTGTTTCTTTGTTTGCTTTTTTTTTTTTTGAACTAGAAACCCCAACTTTTAAAAGGCAGTGCTTGAGAGAGCTTTCCTTTACATAGATATTAATGACTTCTTGTTATCTACTACATGATACTCATCTAAACATACCATCAGCTTGCATATTAGCTGATTTATTAAAAGTAATAGCATGGCTCTTAGCGAGATTAGGGATAAATGTCCCCGAAGCCGAGGCAGATAAGTTGACGTCTCGACGGCCGCAGACCGGAAGGACTTTTACTTATCTGCCCGAGGCTGAGGGACATTTAATCCCTAATCTCCCGAGGAAGCCATGCTATTACTTTCCCATGATTTCCGAGGGAAAAAATTGAAGTTGAACTTGAGTGAATTTGAATTCTTGTTTTTTTTTTTTTGCATGCTCCAATGTTCTCGATCAGAAGTAATATAAACGTTGCAACAAACAATTCATGCATGAATTGGAATGTGACATGAAAAGAATGGATACGCAATGTTCTTAGAGTATCAAGCACTTTATTGTATCGTTGAATGCTGAAGTTAACGAACCTTAACTTAAATCTCGAAAAGTTGTTTTTATATTTGCAAGTATAATGCCACGAAGCTTATCAACTATTATCAAAATTGAAATTCGTCAAGTGCACATGCTCGGAGGTACGAAGTAGTGACTCGAAACCAGAGCTACTCGGTCAATTTGGCCCAAAAATCATACTACATTTSAGTGTGACTGAGACGATAACGAGAGCGTTCATTGCAGAGGTAAAAGAAGACAGCTGTAGGGACATTCAGTTGTCCCTACTAGGAAGCAAAAGTTTCCTTTGCCTTCCGTTCCTTCCTCACGAATAACATGAGGGACGAGTAGTGACTAATCTTCCCTCATGTTATTATGCATGAGGGATGATTACTGGTAATCGTCCCTCATGTTATATATTATGCATAAGGGAGGGATGTTCGCTTGTAAACATTCAACTTATCTGCCCTCCGGTTCGGGGACATTTAATCCCTAAYCTCCCTCAGAGCCATGMTATTACTTATAATTATATAATATTTTAGCCTCTCTTCCTATTAGCAGCGTTCTAGATCTGCCTGTTGAAATATTCAGTCATATCATGCTAAACTTTTTGCGATAAGTATTTATGAACTGCATGTAAACAACAACGCGTCCATATTTCCTAATATACAATTTTAATTTATTCAGGTCCACAATGCTATAAGTATTGCAGCCGAAATCCTTGCCGCAAAACAACCTGTTACCGTTGCTATGGTACAAGGTGCTACCCTTATACAACCTGCTGGAGATGCCCAGGTAATATATGCTATACGAGATGCACCAGATAAGGAGAATATAGACAAGACACAGCACAGAGTTTAATTACTACATGTGTGAAAATTGGTAATAGCACAAAGRGRTMAAAAATAATGCATTTSAAAATCCACGTTTTCRTCTTTTTCTTTTGTCTTGCTATAACAACTTCGGCATGGGCGTATTGTCCGCATCCACTGGTACAGTGAGAGTATTATAACTTATAAGGGACTGCGCAATAACATATAAGCAGTCGTGTGGTTTTATAGAAATGAATGAAAAGAACAGAAATGTTCATTGCCAGCAATTTGGGACATTTATAAATAGAATCCTTGTATTTGCTAAGAAAAAAAATATACAAACACGATTATAAAAAGGAAATACAATGATATTCAGCAATATATTTGGAAAAAAAGAAACAATTCTATTGAAATGTTTCACCACAGGACGTCCAAGAGATTAAATTCCACTGCAGAGTGAAAAAAAGGAAGGCTTTGGGCTCTCCGATTGCTTCCAATCATATGCAATGAACGCCTCGAAAAGAAAATGGCAGCGATAGCGATTGTTTCGGTGTGTTTTGGTTCTTTTTAATTCGTTTTTTGGAATTTTTGCGAGATATCATGGCGACTTCTAGACTTAAAAATTAACCAAAGCTCATCCTTCGTGGGAATATTCAAAGTAGTTGTATTTCACAGTCTAAAAGCTGTTAAAGCAAGGGAGCACGGYAAGATGTTGTTTATTGCCTTTTTTAATCGGTTCGTTCGATCGATAARTTGACATGTCAATCACGAGTAACGCCACGATGACTTAACAACGGTCTCTTACATTTAATTTTGATAATTTGAATCAGTTCTTACCYATGTGCATGTATTAAAAAGTATTGATGGGTTAGTCCGGCTTCATTTTTACAGTTCGTCAGCAAACTATTTATTGAAATACTATATAAGCGAGGTGATGTTTGCGATGCCACAAACTGTAAAGGCTGATTTGACACGGCACGATTGTCTCGTGCGATTTGTAGTATACGACTTGAAACCCGCAGTGTAAATGCCCCTACGACTTGTCTACAACAGTCGTACGCAACCTACGACTTGTAGTAGGATTTTGAACCACTGCTTAAAATCCTACGACTTGTAGTAGGAAAATTGTATACTACAAGTCGTACGCGACAAATCGTACCGTGTAAATCAGCCTTAAGAAATGTTTAGCAGCTAGAAGGCTGTTTACTTTCCTTCAAAACTGACAAACGCGAGAAACATTAATTGAGTCAAATTTGCCAGGATTTTCCCCCTGGTAAGATGAAGCTGTTCTAGACCGATCCTGGAAAGACCATCCCACCAACAAAGAACTCTATGGCAACATCCCACCCATTACTACCTCAATACGCCAACAACGGCTGCGCTTTGCGGGACAGAGTGGTGGCACAGCAAGAACGAACTAGCTGCTGAAATTGTCTTGTGGAGACCATCCCATGGGAAAAGATCAAGGGGAAGGCCGAAGAGGACCTACATCGACCAATTATCCGACGATACGGGATGTAGGGCTGACGAGCATCATGGCTACCGCTATGAGCGATAGGGATAGTTGGTCAAAAGGGTCATGGAAAGCCGAGCAAGCTTGACCTGATGAAGATGAAGCCCAAAGCCGCATTTGTAAGAAAAACGCTATTAAATCGACAATCAAACCATCTTTAATAATTTCCTTAGTATACCATATAAGATTAGAAGTAACAATTACACTGCTTGCGAACCATCTGCTTGCACCTGTGGAGACGACAAAAGTTGATAAGGAAACCATGCTCCACCGGCATCAATTTGAAACTTTTGTTTATGTTCGAACATAGAAATACATCCAATATACTCAAAACAATTGTCTTATTTTTATCCTTATATGTTATATGAGCATATAGTAAGATTCGACGAAAAAAAAAAAAATAAAAAAAATAAAAAAAAAACGACTGATGGGAGCGGATTTCGAATAGTCGAATCTAATTTTCCATATATGAAACACCTAAACACGACCGTATTGAATGCTGGCGGACAATGGCCCTTAAAACTATAAGACAACGTTAATTTTAATTTTAAAATCTCATTCGTAGTGCCGAGCAAGACTATTTTTGACGTCTTTTCATATAATATGTTTTGAAACGATTGGGT